CAAACTGAGTTCTATATAATTGGCCACAGCAAGCATGGACTCTTAAAAATCCCATATTTCCAAAGGAAATGCCAGTATCGCTATCACCACTATGGAGAAATCATCCTTGAAAAACTGTACACAATAATGTCTCCTATGCCAGAAGCCTGTATACTATAACATTGTAGAAAATTTGCAGAACAAAATCATGGAGTAGATAATAAGAGTCAGCTATAATCCCATAACCCAAACACATCGTCATTGAGTACCTTATAGAATGTGCTTCCTGGATTTCCATTCTACACACATTTTCTCTTTGGCTGTAAGTTTAATTGCCCATGTATTATATAAGCATTGTGATGGTTGGTTTTAATCATCAAATGACACAATTTAGAATCACCTTGGAAAAAAATAGAATCACCTTGGAAAAGAATCTTGTTGATAGAATGGCTAGATCAGGTCAGCCTGTGGGTAACTCACTTTGGAGGGGATATGAATATCCAGCCTACAGGGGAGTAGTACCATTCTCTAGTACTGGGTCCTGAATTGTACAAGAGTAGAGAGAGCTAGTTGAGTGAAAGGTATGCACTCATTCATTGCTCTCTGCTATTGGCTGTGGATGTGATATGACTACTTGTTTCAAGATTCTGCCTCAATTTCCCCATAATGACTGACTGTAACTGAAAGTGTGAAGTAAAATAAGCCTTTTTCTCCCCATTACCTTTCTGCCTGGGTGTTTTAATCACTGCACCAAGGATAAAACAAAGCAACATATATGTGTAATATCTCACCTTGACAACAGGCTACCATTTATTTATCTGTCTTCTTTCTCATTGATAAATGTGTCTTATGCCCTAGCTTCACCCAGGCATAATCATGTCACTGTCATCACCTCTTGGAAGACAGACACCTATAGAACAACTGGAATTTCTAATAAAGCTGATGTCAAAAAGTTAGAAAAAAAAACATAGAAAGTATCATGATGGATGCTTAAAGATAGACCACAAGAAATCCTTCTTAGAATAGTGCTACTTTGTTGTATGACATTTAAATTATTTCAGAATATTAGGACTTCTCACTTAATGATATGCTATAAATCCAATTAAATATCACCTTTAAATAGAACAAATTATATTTTTTTGTTTTTTTCTATTATATCACACTGTCAAAATAGTAGTTTATTTGACAAAGAGAAAAAAATCTGTAGGCATCAAACCTGACAAGTAATTTTAAAATATAGACTACCTGTCAAGTTACGTTCAGTAGATCTGGCCTATTCAGGCTGTTGTAGATTGTACTTTTGGATGGAGGAAAGCACCAAGCATGAAGTTAGAAGTGCTACAAAATACACTGTCAGTCATTCCAGGGACTTTTTTACTTCCTTATTTGAGTTCATGACTTCATATGCCCACTCTGTGGCTTTGAAGCTGTACACATTGCTGCTTACTGGAGCCACATTAGGTTTCAAGTGTACAGTTAAATAGTGCCAAGTATATGGACGCTGCTGTGCGGACAATCATCAGAATTCCCTTTCTGTCCCTAATTTTTACTCCTCTGCAAATCACATACAACAGACCCTTTACTATATTTGCAGGACTGGTTTATTTTGCTTCACCTAGTGGCTTCAAGCCTCTTTCATGTTCTAGTGTATGTTAGATTTATGGTTGCTTTTAAGGTGAGTGATATTTCTTCCATTAACATGCTTTGTTTATCCATTTCCCTGTGGATGGAAAACTGTAAGTAATTTGTCTTCACCCTTGGCCTTCTATGAAGAGAGATGTGATAAACACATGTGTATCGCCTTTCTTAACTCTCTTTTGAACCAATTACAGAAATAAGTGTCACTGTGGTGCAGCGTACTGAAGATTAAATAATTCCTATCAAAGAACATTCTATATTGTCTAACACATTACAGGTAGTTACTAAGCACTGATTTTAAAGCTTGGAGACAGGAAGAATTGTTCTCTCATTAAGAATTTCTCAGACAATGTTGCTGTTACCAATGGCAGCAAGAGATCTGATGGATAAAATTTTTAACATTTTAAAAATTTAAAAAGGAGCCATTAACTTCATTTTAGAGTACATACAAAATTGTGACTAGCACATCAAGCTGGCTATTGTGTAACCATCATTGTTTAGAATGAGGCTAGAAATTATGGTTTTTTTTTTTGTTTTTGTTTTAGTATTTAAAAAAAGCAAAAGTGGGGGCTGGAGAGTTGGCTCAGCACTTAAGAGTGCTTGGTACTCTTCCAGAGGGCTCAAATTCACTTCCCAGTGCCTACATGGGGTTGAGTAGTTTCCAATACCCTGTAAATCCAGCTTCAGGGGATCTAATGACTCCTGACTTCTGTGGCTACCTCTACACATGTGATATATGCATATATAGTCAAAAATAAAAACATGTAGACATACACATATGCATAACTTGAAATGTATATTTGTATTATTTTTTATTTTCAAATCAATCTTTTCTCATTTTCCATACCAATCCCAGTTTTCATTCCCTCCCCTCCTCTTGCCACCGCCTTTTTCCCCCCACTCCATCCCCCAGCCACTCCTTAGAGAGGGTAAGGCTTCCCATGAGGAGTCAACAAAGTCTGGCACAGCACTTTGAGTCAGAAACAAGGCCATCCCCACTATATCTGGGCTGAGCAAAACCATCCCTCCAAAGAGAATGGGCTCCAAAAAGCTAGTCCAAGCACTAAAGATAAATCCCGGTGCCACTGCCAGTGGCCTCACAGGCTTTCCAAGCCATACTACTGTCACCCACATTCTTAGGGCCTAATTTGGTCCTGTGCAGGTTCCCCTGCTGTCAGTCCAAAGTCAGTCAGCTCCCACTAGCTCAGGTCAGCTGTTTCTGTGGGCATCCCCAAACTGGTCTTCAACACTTTGTTCATATTATTGCTCCTCCCTCTCTTCAACTGGACTCTGGGAGCTCTGCCCAGTGATTAGCTATGGATCTCTGCATCTGCTTCCATTACTTACTTGATGAATAGTCTATGATGATAATTCATGTAGTCATCAATCTGATTACAGGGGAAGGGCAGTTCAGACACCCTCTCCACTGATACTTGGGATCTTAGCTGGGGTCATCCTTGTGGACTCCTGAAAATGGGAAAAAAGACCAAATCAGGAAGCAGTGAAATGAATCAGGAAGAGTAGTCATACAAAGCGGGAAATTTTTTTAAAACTTCCATTTTTCTTAATTTACTTGTTAATAGTTTTTTTTCCTTTTTAACATTTCCTTCCTCCCCTTATTCCCCCTCCCTCCTTCCTTCCTTCTTTCCTTTCACTCTCTTTGTAATTTTAAAAAGTATTCCTATCAGGCTGAACTCATTTAACTCATGTGTTTTGAGATTCATACAAGAAAAACTACCATTTACAGTCATTTCTTCTCTGAAGCTGGTACTAGAGTAGGTAATGCATCCCAAATGATTGGAACTTTTTATAACTTGTCAGCACACATATGTTGATAGAACAATCCATGCTGATGTGTATTATCTGAATTGCATTATATCAAACCTGCCCATTTATGTATTGCTGTAAGCCACATAGATAACAGAATTCAGGATGAGGTTCTAAATTCATTTGTGATGTCTGGATAGAGTGACCAGAACATACTGATTAATATTTCAACCCTAAGTTGCTGACATTTATCTTGCTATCATAGCCTTGCGGCTCAGTCTTAGCTTACTTAAACTCATTGTTAGTATCAATGCACAAAACATTCAAAGCTATGTAGAATCATATTAGTTGGGGCACAACAAAATAAAGAATGTTTAGGTAATACTATCTTGTACAAGGCTATTTATCCCATAATGTATATGAGAACTTTCCCCATCTTTAAGTCCAGTTGTATTTCCCTCATGGCATGAGACAATGATGATGCTCAGAAATTTCTATGGAAAGGCCCTCTTTTAGATTATTTTCCCATGGCAAATCTAGTTATCCAAATCACATCTTATATTTCAATCTACAAGGATGAACTGTTTCAGTACTATTCTAGACAACTGTGACTCTGTTGACAGATAAGTAATGTATCTGTTGTTTTGTGATTGAAAAGAAACTGAATCTTTAGTGTCTAGTATGTTCCTCTGTAACAAATGGAACCTGCCACTTCCTACTCCAGCCAATGCATCTCTCTCTCTATTTCTCTCTCTCTCTCTCTCTCTCTCTCTCTCTCTCCACTCTCCCTCTCTCCCAGTTACTAATATAATTTTCCTATCTGGTGATCTTGTGAAGAAACTAACTGTAAATTCAAGTCTATAAAATTCAGAGAGTGCCATTAAGTCTATAATGCAATTCGCATTAACTATTTTAGCCTTTTGCATGATTTTTTTCTCAAAAACTGATTTAAACTTGGAAAATGAAGACTTTAAAATATGGACTCTCTGCTGTGATTTTTCATGTGTGTAGCTATTACTTCATGAGGATGAATCTGAGTAATCCCAATGTTTTATTGCCTCGCATTTTGCCCATCTCATCATACAAGGAGACTGGCTTAAAAATCATCCACACTTCATTTCCTGTGACTTTAATCTGCTCATTTGGCAAATCTCTCTCAGCCTCTAGTATGTAACAAAGCAAGTGCCATGGCTGCCCTGCTTAACTCAACAACAAGCAGCCCACTTGTGGTAGATAGAGGAATTGCATTTCTTCTCCTTTCAACATGCTTTGGTATGGTATCGTATGGTATGGTATGGTATGTTATGGTATGGTATGGTATGGTATGGTATGGTATGGTATGGTATGATGTGGTATGGCATGGTATGCTATCATATGGTATGGTACCATATAGTATCGTAGGGTATGGTATAGCAAATTTTCTCATAATTTAAACACAGCAATCTTTTATAAGGAAATATTTTAAAGCTTCTCCCTTAGTTTTTTCTCATTCCATCTCTCCACCATGGGTGACCATGGCTCATTCCATGAGTCTCCTAGTGTATTCAGTTGTCTGCTGCATCTGAAATATGACTTCATGATTAAATCAGTTTTAATTTCTCTTTTTGCATTTCAAGCTCCCAGTCAGCCACCAGGAAATGTCATTTGGAATGCTACAGACACTAAAGTGTTACTTAATTGGGAGCAAGTAAAAGCAATGGAGAATGAATCAGAGGTAACAGGCTACAAGGTCAGTTGTGATTTAGACTACATTTCCCAACTTTGAAAACAAACTCCAAGGAAAATTAAGTGGAAAGGAAAATTTTAAGATGTATATGATATGGTTTTAATCTGATTTTCACATAACTATCAAGCTTTTCTTAAAAGACCATTTCCTCAAAATATCTGACTTGTTAAATATTGTTAATTTTTCTTATATACAATTCAAAAAATGATGGTTATAACTTGTATTATTTACTTTTAATGCTCACCAAATATTATCTTTAAAACAACTGTAAGTGTTGCCCATGATTCATTGCCTGACCCAATGAAAGACATGTTCCACATGGCTGTGTCTAGATAGATAGATAGATAGAATTATCTATCCTCAGTAAAAGTATTTTGGGAAGCAGAGGCAGGAGGCATGGCTTCCTACTGTCATCATTAGTAGCCTGAAGAGTTTCCTGGACTTGTGTGGAGGTTGGCACAGGCTAAACAATATTCACAGATTCAACCCAGGAGGGGATTTTAGTTTTATTCAGTATATAAAGCATTGTTGAGGTTAATAACGATATGTTAGGTAGTCTTAATCTTTAGAGTTAAGAGAAAGAAAGATGCCCAGAAGGAGCATAAGATATACTCTAGAGCACGGATGTGGACTTCTTAAAGAAGATGCACAAAAAATAAGACACACCTAAGTGTAACTATCGTTTCCTCAAGGAAGGATCATGCTCATTGTTTATTATAGTAATATGTAAGATATTATTGAACTTTGAAGTTACTGTAGTCACAAGGTTTATAGGAAGCTTAAATGAGATTGTTGGGAGTTTCCTAAGAGGCAACTGACAGGACTGCAGTTGGTAAAGTAAAGTCTAGCTCACAAGAATTTCAGAAAATAGCATCTATTTGCTTTATACAAAGGTAACATTTTGTTTAAGATCCACAGGGGATAACTGCTGAAAAAAATTCTGCCCTACCCAAGGTCGAGGCCCTACCCAAAGTCTTATACCTTCTGCATAAAGCCTGGGTCACTTTTACTTTATACAAAGTATCTATCAGAAACAGAATGTTAGTTTTATGTGGTCATCCTTTATAACAAATATAAATGGTTCAAAACGCTTGCTTCAAGGCTAGGGATAGGCTTCAATCAGACTTTGGAGCAACGGTGTTCTCCTTTCACATATCCCATAATCTCCATGTGTTTCCATCATGTACCACTCACTAATGCCCAACCTAACTGCGGTTTTCCATGGAAAAAGTTTAGTGCTCACCCAACCTCCTCAGTTTTGATAACATGATGACTCCATTATGTTTACACATGTTTAAGACCCATAAACTTAGCATGGAGAGCACTTTATAGTCTAGGGATGCAGTGACATGTCATTGTAGAGTGACAGTTTTGTAAATCACATAAAAATAAAAGCTGGCTGTACAAAGAGTGTGTTTGCTAATGTTTTCCAGGTTTTCTATAGGACTAGCAGTCAAAATAGTGTGCAAGTACTGAACACAAATAAAACTTCAGCTGAGCTTTTACTGCCTATCAAAGAGGACTACATTATTGAAGTTAAGGCCACCACAGATGGAGGGGATGGCACCAGTAGTGAGCAGATCAGGATTCCAAGAATAACCAGTAAGTTGATTGAACTCATTCCCTCCTTCACTTGCATCGGTGTCATTGAACCTTATAATGATTAACATGCTGCCTATCCATTTTTCCCAGCATGCCTTTGATATGCACGGGGCATAGACTATAAGGATGGGAGGAAATCATGGGAGAAGTAAAAGGCATTAAACCCTACTTAGCAAAGTTTACCATTTGAACTACTTATTTTGAGTTCTCCTTACATTTGCCTTGAGATTAATTTCCTAAACCTAAATTCCCTAAACACTTCTCAAGGGTATCGTTGAGCCACAGAGGGGTTTTCACACTTTTAATATTGCCAGGTGTGGCAACTCAAGCAAATAATCTCAGGAGTCACAACCAGAACAGCTTGAGTTCCAGACCAGCCTAGGATACATACTTCAAGGACAGCCTAAGTTACATAGTGAGAACCTGTCTTTTCTGAATTGTTTGGCCCCTTCTAATTACAGGCAAATATAAGATCTTTCAATAGAAAACTTAACATTTGTAACATCATAATCCATTTATATGTACTGGACAGAGAAATGAGATCTTAAAATAATCTATTTTTTAATTTCACAAAAACTTCACTTCTGTGCAGCTACACCCTTTCATCTTTAAAATGAAGTAGCTGACATTAGCAACTGAAGAGTGGAAACTTTGACAAGATGGGAAAATTTTATTTTCTGGGAAAATATCTTGACTAAAATACACAAATCCAAGTATCTTAGGAAATGGTGGGTAATTATTTCAGCACTTAACTGTGCAAGTCAGTCTGTGAAAGTCATTTCGGACTGGGGATTATCCCAAAAATCTATGCAATTCAGTGGAGACTGTTGAATAGGCCAAAAGAGAAACTGCTTTACATTTATTATGAGCACTCTAAGTTTGCTTTAAAGATATTAAAGTGTGTGTGTGTGTGTGTGTGTGTGTGTGTGTGTGTGTGTGTGTGTTTGTGTGTTTGTGTGTGTGTGTGTGTGTGTGTGTGTCTGCATGTGCCTGTCTGGGCCAAAAGAGGGTATCATTCAGATCACCTGAAGCTAGAGTTACAGGCAGTTGTGAGATTTTGAGCAACTTGACACAGAAGTTGTGAACTGAACTCTGGTCTTCTCAAGAACAGTGTTCTTCATCACTGAGCCGTCTCATCTCTTCAGTCCTGATTATTTTAGCTTTTTAAAGTATGGAACACATACTTCTTATTATCCAGTAGCCTGAACTGTAGAGTTAAAAGTGACAGTATAGATGGTGACACTGGTAATATGACAAAGCACTGTGCTTTTGTGAGAGAAACACAGAGGGATTTTTATTTGGGGACTACTTTTCCTTCTGCCTGCTTTTTCTCCCTTATGTCTACAATAAAAATCTTCCCCGTACTTTAGGAGTAGTCATGTTCTCCTCTTTTTATTTCCTTTTTTCATTCAGCAACAACTGCCTAGTCTAGAGCACCTAACCCTGCCCTGTTGTTGTTCTTGTGCAGTCAGGTGACTGAAAATGGAGTTTCTACTGAACATTTTACAAAGATGATATTTGTGTTAAATGAATCTGCATAGAGACAAGCAGATTTTTTAAACCTTTATCCACTGAATCTTTCTTTAATTAAACTATCAAATTATCTCACCAGTTGTTTGTAATCAAGTCTAATCATTTTCATGATGATGAAGTTGTTTTTCCAATTTCAATTAAAGTTTAAGTATATGAAATGAACAGACTGGAGTAATTTACTAACACTTGGACATATCAGTGACTTATACGTACTCTTAGCAGCCAGAGTGTGCTACAGAGGGAAATAAGAAATAACTGATTCTTGGTTAGGCTTGTGTTGTAACTTAATTTTGATAGAACACGCATTACTTTTGTTTTAATGTGTCTTAGTTCATTCAAACTACTATATTTTAGGGAGAAGGTAGGAGCAGGGTGTGCCTGTGTAGCCCTGGCTGTCCTGAAACTCCTTCTGTAGATCAGGCTGGATTTGAACTCAGTGATCTGTCTATCTGTTCCTTTTCAGTGCTGGGATTAAAGACCTGCACCACTACCACCGGTTTCAAACTACTTTTATAAAAGTATCATGGCCTGGCTGTTTTATAACTACAGAAATATGTTTCTCATGATTTCAGAGAACAGAAAATGCAAGGTTAAGGTACCTGCAGATTTACAAACATTCTGAAAATGTTCAATACCCAAATTTTACCACAGAAACTGAGATTCCCCTTTTGGGTTCTTAGTCTTATTAACAAAAGAATTTAGAAATGGACTCAATACTCAGTTGACTACAATTTTATTAGAGTTGAGGAGAAAAGCAACAGGGCAGGCAAACTGTCAATCTGACAGCTGCCAGGAGGAGGGACATGGAGAACAGGAAGAGGAAAAGGTCATGCTTTTTGTCATTGAGGCCACCAAGCTGCCTCATGATGAAAGAACAACAAAAAGGAGATTGAGAGCCTCAGAGAATGAGTAAGAAAGCCCAGACGGTCTGGGACTGTTTGCTTAGGCTTTGGGCCAGTATCCAAAAATGAGACAAAGAAAAATAAAAAGAAAATTAATTAGGACCCAGAAGTAAGCAGACCATATGGCTAGCCTCCATAATGCTGCCTGATGGAAGGTCTTCTGCAAGTATTTTCACTAAGGAGCTTCTGGGAAGTAAAGTATATCATCAAATTCAGGGAATAACTATTCCTCCCATTTTAGCATGACTTCAGAGTATGCAGATTTCCTGGGGGAGTGGCATCCTGGCTAGGGAATTAAGTTGCCCAGGCATAGTGACAGAATGTATAGTCATTTTGACCAGGAGGAAGTAAATCTGCCCTAATGGGCCTCAATACAGCCCTGTTGCCCTGGCCTTTTCACATGGTACTTTAAATTTAAGGAGTGTCAAAGCTGATACTTAAGATTTCTTAGTTACCTGGAAAGCCTGGGTTGGGGTCCAAAGCTTTAAAGACCTGAAAAGCTACTACTGTAGCATGACTATCATCACAGCTGAAGACAGGATTTCAGCATGGTGCCAGAGAGAACAGAAACATTCAGTCCGTAGTGTCCTGATGGCCTTTACTAATGAGCTGCTTATCATTTTTGACAGGTATGGATGCAAGAGGATCCACATCAGCCATTTCTAACCTCCACCCTGTGTCAGGTTATATACCTGTCCTACTGTTCTTTATTGTAGATGCTCTGTGGTGAGGCGTTTTTTATTATATACTGGAAAGTTAATTGGTCACCCAAAAAAAGTGCTTTCTGAAACAGTGATTATGCATGTTTTTTTCAGCTATGTGTTTTTAAATTTCTACTCCATTATAGGTAAAATATGAATATAATAAAAACAGCAAATCCTTTTAGAGGAATCTGAAATGCCTTAATATTTGCTTGGTAAACCAAAGGAGTTTGCAAATTACATACTGCAAACTTTTGATACAAATGTTCTTATGTTTTAGTTTTAGTGCCTATGTGTGAGGCACATACAAACACAGGATACACACAAAAAACCCCACAGGGCACACATGATATGGAGAAACAAATAATACATATACAGTACAGACACACATACACACACGCACACACACACACACACACACACACAGACACACTAACATAAGCAGTTTTTCTATATTAAAGAACACTTCGTTTATTCCAAATATTCTTTTCCCATTATTACAACATCTCTTATTATTTAAAAATTACCAATTTGAATCCCTCAGAGTAAAAATACACTTAGACAGTTATTATGCTGGAAGGGAGTGGCCTGTGATTCCATTGGGTATTGTTAGAAAATTTTACTGTGAGCTGGGGCAAGTGACATTTGCATCAGTGTATTGCTGTATGACTATGACATTCCCCTAGTCACTTTGTTCTGTCATCTCTGTTATTCATTATATGAAATGAGGTGATAATATTTCTCCCACCTGCCTTTCCTACAAGAATTAGTTGTTATAAAACATAGAGGGGGAATATGAAAAGCATGGTTTCCTCTCACAAGCAGTCTTCCTGTGCAGAATCTTACATGAACTTCCTAAAGTGACATGCAAACCAGGCTCCTTTTTGAAGCTTGCTGGCATTGCATGCTCTCAGTAGGATTATCTGTTCCATTGAAAGATGAAAATTGAATCTGAGTGAATATTATAACATCTTTTGTTTTTGTTCATATTTATAAAGGAAAAGATGGTACCTGGAAATGAATACATTTCATCCTGTCTCAAAATTAAGATGAAATTAATTAAGGATTCATTCCCTTCCCATGTAAAAATAAGCTTTCGGGCCTTTTTAAAACCTGGTAGGGAAAAGAAGAAACAAACTGTATCTTAACCCAAATATGAAACAATATGCCCACAATTCTTCATTTCCAATTTCTGATACCATTAAGGGGCCCTGTCTCTGTTTAGAGGGCAGAGATGTTTTTTTAAGGAAATCCTACTGTCTATCTCATCAAGTCAGGCAGGCTTTTTCATTGGTACCAAGTTAAATTTGTAATAGAACATGGTGATGCTGCTGGCTTTGATACAGATGACTCAGTCCTTCAATATGTGGTTTTCAAAAGAGTGTGGACGATGTGAGTTAACAGCAATATGTAAAAAGAAATATGAAAATCAGCAGACTGAGTGTGAGACATTCAAAATCAAATTTTTACCTCTTGCCTACCAATTTCCTATTTTGCTACATTGCTCATATTACCAAAGGTAGAAAAATTACAAAACAATGGGGTAGATCCCAAGAAACACTAAAAAGTAGCCAAATTCTGATACCATTTTAGTGTACCACTCTTCTTTCAGAGATTCCATTTAAGGCAAAGTCGAAATGTAAAGAGGAGAATGATTTTTTTTTTTACATATCTCTATAGGGTCTGTATATATTGTACATATCCAGAAGAAATCTGAATGACTAGTTGCTTTCATATGACCATTGTTATTTCCAGTCAAAAAGTGGGGGAAGAATTTCTCCAATCCCTGTGCTTTACAGTCCATGTAACAGAACTATACCTTTTTATTATCTGATGACTCCTAGAATTTGTTCCTGTACTTTACTTTTGCAAGATGGCAGTTCTCTTGTTTCCTGTTATTTCTATCAGTATATCTCCATGAGATGTAGACACTGTTTCATATTGAAAAGTCTAAATTTTACTCCTTAAATCCCCATGTGTGTATCCTATGGTTATCTGTATGTATTATTTTCTATTATTCTAATAAAATTTATAATAATCCCATACTCCTGTGTTGTTTATTGTGGTTTTGGTGGAGGGAAACATTTGCATGGGAAAGAGGGAGCCTAATTAGAGTTACATTCTTACTGCCCTTCCTTAGATTTTTTCAGCTAACATTTGACTTTTACATCTTTTAGGGGAGTGTTTTAAAATTTGATTTATGATCTACTGACAATGACTTCTACAATTCCAAATGATTCATATGTGCATCATGGGGCTGGAATGCAGAAACAGAAAATTTGCCTAATAGGCTTATGATGCCCAATTTTTCTCACTTCATTTTGGGATGTGTAGAAACTCACACATTTTTGACAAATGGGTTAATTTTTTCTTAGAAACAGTGTCAATGTACCACATTCTATGTAGACTTTTCTCTTTGGAATCAGAGTTAGACTACATGAAATAATCACTCTGATATAGTACATTCTAAATATTTTAAAAGTTTTTAATGTTTCAGCTTTGAAATTGTAAACAATTTCAAAAGTTACTTTGAGTAAGGGAAATAAGAACAAATGGTAATCCAGTTGTAGAAAAATTAAGGAGAAAAACTCTGTCAGATGATCTCTCTCTCTCTCTCTCTCTCTCTCTCTCTCTCTCTCTCTCGCTGTGTGTGTGGGTGGGTGTGTGTGTGTGTGAGTGTGTGTGTGTGTTTAAATGTAAGCCCAGTTGAGATAGTTGCATTAGGGTCTTCTGAATAAAGGCAAATACTCAGAGAATGCAGATAGAGATTATGACATCAGCAGTACTAATGTCTGATGCTAGTGGGCATGGAAGGATTAGACGCCAGATCTGTCTGACAATTCTGCCAACTTCATAGCACCTTAATAATTGCCAATCATGGGCTTTTGCTGAAGTTTCAAAGCCTTTAGTTTCCTGGCTGAAGAATGCAGGGATGGTAGAATTCCCCTCATAGAGTTCTGTCTTCAACAAATGCTAAGACCCTTGGTGAAGAATGGCCTGTTGGGTGAGCTGAAGTTGTTGACACTACCCATTTATGAGTCAGGGAGCTAGGAAGTTAAATGGTGTGTGCAACTCATACAGAGTCATACTATTGTCTTTATCACCAAAGGTGGGAAATCAATCACCATGGAGAACAAAAGACCTCCTTCATAAGGTAGTTTTATGTATTTCTTTTAATTTCATTGTATTAAGGACAAGCTTTTAGAGGATAAATGATTCTGAAATTCAGTTTATTAATAGCAGAAAGTTACTTGTTTATTCTCCTTGACACACTGAGTTAACCCTTACATCATGTCCTTAATTAGGTCCCATGTAGCCCATTTTACAGATGATGAACAGTTAGTAATTTGCAGAAGGTCTCTCTGTGACAGGCATAGTAAAATATGACTCAAACTAATCCAGTTTCAACTTATGAACATTAAGAGGGATGAAGCTCTTTGTCCCTCTTAACATTAGACACATCAGGCTGGAAGGTCTGGTCCTCTCTGGTTTGACTACATAGTGGACCTTTTTTTCCTTTATTGAGCACAAAATCAGGGAGCCTAAAATTTCTTAATTAATTTTCATTATACTTTCTCATTAAAACTTTTGAAGATGGCACAAGTTGGTATTCAATCATTTTGCCACGTTCAATGAAAACCAACCAGCATAACTCAGCAAGATGAAGAAAATGTTACGTGATTAGAATGTTTCAAATTCCTTTTTTTCCAATTAAAATCCCTCCTGCTGATTCAAATTCACACAATGCCAGCTTTTTATTTAAAATTAATCTTAATTGGGTTCATTCTTTCTAAAGCATTTTACCCTTTTTAAAAAAATGAAAATGTGTGGGTATTCATTGTAATTTGGATATACTTCAGTAAATATTGCAAGTAAAACCAACCCACAACAGCAATTATGAAATCAGCAATTAATAAACTCTACCATTCTCTTGAAAGAAAATATGTAAACAGATTAGACTACAATGCATTTCAATCACCAGATTTTTTTTATTTAGACCTATACCCTAATTTAACATGCTTTGCTTTACATGCAGGTAATAATTACCTCTTCGAACAAACAGAGAATCCATACACTGATAAGAAAATTACACTTGTAAAGGATAACCTCTTCCCATACTTATCAGCCTTTATTCCTATTTTATTCCTCCTCCACCCTTTGAAATTATCTTAGCTCCCATGATTCTACCTTGATCATCAATAGAGCAGAGAAGAGAGAGAATCAGGCCCTAGGTAATTGGATATTACCTGAGGAGACACAGAAAAGGCAGCAACAAATGATAAGGCTGGCAAATGAGCACATTTGCTGCGGCCTCTAGTAGAAATTGACAGGCACAAAACTCTTGCAAAATGTACATTGTGCCTGGCTAATGAGAAAGTGAAATGTCCTTGTCACTGTGATTCTTGCATCAGCATCTCCACCTTTCCAGAACATCCTCATACAAAATAGTTTTGCCAGCTTGAGGTTTAAAGATGAAGACACAGAATACTCATTGGGATGTTAATCACTGTGCCACACTGTCCTTGTTGTGTGTGTGGGGGTTCTTCTTTCTATGCTCATTACTAACTTGAAGGAATTACCAGCCAGTTTTCAACATGTCTACTTTCTTTCTCTTATTTTACATCTGTCGTTTTTTTTCCTCCTGCATCGTCCCTGTGTATGATAAATTATGACCCTTAGGAAAATAAGGGATGCTATACAGTGTATATGAATCATTTAAAATAGCAGACACAATGTATTGACGATATTAACATATCTGGGAAGAAAGTTGCAGCACAGAGTCTGATTAGAATCCATACGATGCCCCTAAAAACCGTATGACCTTTTGTATATAGACTAATTCTTCCAAATGTCTACAATCTCTCTCTCTCTCTCTCTCTCTCTCTCTCTCTCTCTCTCTCCAACAGAATTTGAGCCACAAATTGTGATGCATGAACTACACAGTTCCAGGTGATTCTTTGCCCTTTGTGTTAGAGAGAGGAAAGACCCTCCTCTCTGGAGCTTCTCACACTAAAGCAGGGAAAGAGCAACAGAAAATATGAGAGGTAAAAGGACTCTTAGAGTATATGCTAGAATGGTTGTTGATCACTGGGACCTTAACGGAGCGGTTGGCTCAAGTGAGCTTGCTGGGCACGTGGGACAAGCTAAACCTATAATGGCAGAATTCTTACTGACTCGGAGAACTACCCTCATGCACATGAAGGCATCAAAGGGGAAAGCCAGAGGAATTATTCACAGTTGCCATTCAGAAAGGTATGGAATCAGGCTGAAAGCTCGACTTGTGTTTTAAGAGTATTTAGTGCTGTGCTGTTGATAAAGCCTGTATATAACTCAATATGGTGCTTAGGAATTGTAGTTATGGAGTTGAAACAAGAGCCACTTGACCTGGCAGAGCTGCTCTGTGCTTCTGACGACTTTCAGTTAGCTGCTTGAAGTCCCAGGCACTGAGGAACAGTCAGAACTATGGACTCAGGATAAGCATGTTGAGCCATTAGGTTTAGCCTCCAAAGGTCATGTGGGGAGTATAAGCTCCAGGCCTCTTTGAGAATGCTATATACTGTTTTATATTCTTCCCTAAGACAAATTCCCTCATACTTCCAAGTCACTACCAATGAGTGATAGGCTAGATCTTGCTGGGACTTAGTTCCTGAGAAGGCCTCACCTACTGTTGCTACAGAATGAAAAGGCCATCTCTCCACTGAATTTAAACAAATTTATTTGTCTTTCTGCCATTTCTGCCTATGCTTTTTCAGTAGAAAAAAAAAAAACAGCCAATCTTCAAAGTCTCTCCTCTTCTATAAGGGATGGTAAAAGATGGGAAAGAACTTGGGAACCAAAACCTAGTTGCCTAATTGCACATATTGTGAAATATTAGTTTCACAGTAATGACATGCACCTTCAAAAGGCAGGGAGTAATGTCTATAGTTCAAGATTTGTGCCTTCTGAAGAAAGCAATGGGGCCACTTGGGAAGAAAAAAGGGACTAGCAGGAAAAGATAGGATAATAGGGTGAATATTATCAAAGTATGTGTGTAAACACATACATATGTATATATAAACAATATATATGTATAAATATATAAAGAGTAAATGTATACATATGCATGCATATATTAGCAGAAAATGTGCATAGCATGCAATGGACCCTGGTTCAATTCTAAATACACAAAAAAAGTTTCTCTTGAAAATAGTAGGGTTTAACTCAATACTTCTGAAAACTTTAAAACTTTATGACTAATGTACAAACCAAAACTAAAAATCCCCTAGTCTCAATATACCCAATCTAAAACAATGAAAAATGTTGTGTGGACCAAATCTCTTTTAAAATCAGTACAGAAGGATAATTATAAAATAAATCAAGAAGGAAAAAAAGGCAAAGAAAGTGTAGGTGGTTTTCTTATTTAAGGTTTCTTTTGCTGTGAAGAGACGCCATGATCACAGCAACTCTTAAAACATTTCATTGTTGCTGGCTTACTGTTTCAGAGGTTTAGTCCATTAGCATCATGGCATCAGGCAGGCAGACATGGAGCTGGGGAAGAAACAGAGTTCTAAATCTTGATCTGCAGGCAGCAGGAAAAGACTGAGCCACACTAGGCCCAGCTTGAGCATCTGAAACCTCAAAGCCTGTTTCCACAGTGGCATGCTTTCTCCAACAAGGCCACACCTCCTAATAGTGCCATTCCTTAGTGGCCACACTTTCCAAGACATGAGACCATGGGGGGCATTCTCATTCAGTGCACCAGAGTGGTTATGTACATTGTCCAGGGACATAATGATTGTAAATGTTTCATTCTTTCAGCACACATGTAACTTTCACAGAAGGCAGCCAATGGCACTCTAAAGACTGAATTTCACATCCCTCTGGTGAGATGAGTTAAGATTTCCAAGGGAATCATCCTGACTGCTTCATGAGGCTTGAAAGGTGACTAGCAAGCTACAGGTGTTAAGGAAGCTGGCTGACCCCAGCTGCCAACCAAGAGG